CTGAGGCGAGAGCTAGATTTTGAAACCGAGCCGCCCTCAATCCGTGAAGCCCGTGCAAGTTTTTGAAACGAATGTGCGCGGCGCTGAAGCGAGAGCTAGATTTTGAAAACGAGCCGCCCTCAATCCGTGAAATCCGTGCACAGTTTCAAAAGAACGCGCGCGGTGCTAAGGCGAGAGCTACATGTCGAAACCGAGCCTCCCTCAATCCGCGAAGCGCTTGCAAGCTTGTTGAACGAATGTGCGCGGTGCTACTGCGAGAGCCGCATTTTGAAAGCTACCTGTCCCCAAGCCGCGAAAGTCTCGCCAGTGTTTGAAACCAGTGTGCGCGGCGCTAAAGCGAAAACAACATTCCGAAAAAGAACCATCCTCAATCCGTGAAGCTTTCGCAAGTTGTTGAAACGAATGAGCCCGGCGCAAGCGCGAGGGCTATGTTTTGAAACCGAGCCGCCCTCAATCCGCGAAGCCATTGCCAGTTTTTGAAACGAATGTGCGTGGCGATGAGGCGAGAGCTAGATTTTGAAAACGAGCCGCCCTCAATCCGTGAAATTCGTGCACAGTTTCAAAAGAACGCGCACGGTGCTAAGGCGAGAGCTACATGTCGAAACCGAGGCACCCTCAATCCGAGAAGCGCTTGCAAGCTTGTTGAACGAATGTGCGCGGCGCTAATGCGAGAACCACATTTTGAGAGCGACCTGTCCCCAAGCCGCGAAAGTATCGCCAGTGATTGAAATGAGTGTGCGCGGCGCTAAAGCGAAAACAACATGTCGAAAATGAACCACCCTCAATCCGTGAAGCTCTTGCACACTGTTGAAAAGAATGTGCTCGGCGCAAGCGCGAAGGCTGTGTTTTGAAACCGCGCTGCCCTCAATCCGTGAAGCCCATTCAGCTTTTGAAACGAATGTGCGCGGCGCTAAGGCGAGAGCTATATTTCGAAAGCGAGTCAGCCTCAATCTGCGAACCTCTTGCACATGTGTGTTGAATGAATGCGCGCGGCGCTAAGGCGATAACATTTTTTTGGGGCGGCTCGCCCTCCATCCGTCAAACTCTTGCAACGTGTTTAAAACGAATGCGCTCGGCGCTAAGGCGAGAGCTCGATGTTGAACGCGAGCCGCATTCAATCAGCGAAATTTGTGTTGCTTGGTTGGTTTCCATATATGTATGTATGTATGTATATGTATATGTATATATGTTGTGTATATATATATATAAAAAATAACAAACACGAATGCGCGCGGTGTTGAGGCTGGAGCCACGTTTTGAAAGCGAGCCTCCTCCAACCCGTGAAACTCGGGCAGTTTTGTTTGACGAATGTGCGCGACGCTAAGGCGACAGCTAGATGTTGATAACAAGCTTGGGGGGAGGTTGGTTTTTGTTTCTTGCTGTTCGGCACGGTGCTGAAGTTATCGTTCGGCTAAAATCGGGCTCTGTGTTTGCTTTCTTGCGGTGCTAACGATACAGGGAGGGTCTTAAATACTGGATGAGGTTCCAGATTTGTCAGCAGTTGGGCCTCAGGCCGTATGGAGCGTCGAAGTCGTTGTGATGAGCCTTGTGGCACTCATCTCGGCAAGGTGCCTGCGCACGTTTGCATTCGGCTTGACATCTTATTGCCAGCCCTCAGTTGATTGGGCCATCGTTCAGAGCGGAGTTTCTGTGGCTGGCCTCTCCTCCCGCCTCTTGCTGCCCTCTCCCCCTCCCCTTGCCGTCTTCCTCTCCCGTCGCGTCTCCCACCTCCTTCGTCTTGGCCCCACGTCCACCGCTGTCCTGCACCCCTGGGGGGAGTCCAGCAGGGTGCTGCGCTGCGCACGTGCAGGGTGAGACCCCGCTTCGCTGGGTGCTGCTGAGCTTTCAGCTGTCGGCGCCAGTTTGCACCGCGGGGAGGTCCAGTGGAGCGCTGCGCTGCGCAGGTCCACATGAGACATCGCCCGAGCTGCTGGGCGCAGAAGGGTCGCCGCTTCCCTCTGTCCTAGGGTTAAGTCGGGCCTGTCCCCCTACAGGGGGATTTTGGACACAACTATTTAAAAAATGCTCAAACGATGCCCAGAAATACTCAGAAAATAGTCCCCATTATTTTTTGACTATTTTTGAATGTTCCCCCTGTAGAGGGACAGGCCCGACTTAACCCTAGGGGGTCCAGCAGAGTGCCGATCTGCGCAGATCCACTCACGACCTCGCTTCCTCCGGTGCTGCCAAGCTTGCACGTGTCTTTGTTTTCCCATAACCTTCGAGGGGGCTAGCAGGGTAGCGCGCCATGCTGGTCGGAATAGACCTCGCCCTTCTTGGATGCTGTCCAGCGCTCAACCTGTCGCCACGTTCCCATGCCACTGGGGGGTCCAGCGGAGTGCCGTCTTAAATGCATCCAGATAAAACCTTGCTTCCTCCACACTTTCTGTATCCTCTGTCATGTTTGGTCCGTTTGAACGACCTGAGCGGTTGTCAGCCAGCCGAGCCGGCTATCACTTGCTCAAATCTCCCCAGGTTCTTCCCTAGAGTTGATATTTAGTTCGACGTGCTCTTCTGGATCCTTGGACGGCAGGGGTCAGGCCTCCTGCTTCTATGGAGTTGCTTGCCAGAGGTCACGAGGCGGATGGGTTCGCCCTCGTCCCTCCTTGTAGGGAGGAAGAAAGGATGGCTCGATGCCGTCTTCCCGTTAGCGGAGCTGTGCTGTTTTTTGTTGCTGACAGTGCGGTTCCTACGGTACCTCAGATACGGCCATTGTGCCAGATGGTAAGTTTTGCATGATGTGATCGGGCACGGCAGCTGCTGCAATCGTAGACCTGAGCGGACGGGCAGTCCCCCCAGAGGCAGGGTGCTCGGCCCGTCGTTCACCACCCACCAAACCACCCCAACCCAACCCGAAGGCCCAAATTTATCCTCGATTTCCAGTGGGGGGGGGTCGGGGAACGTTGAGAAAACACGTGGTATCCGTACCCCCCCCAACCCGAAATTCGGGTCAAATTCGGGTCTTCGGGTTGGGTTGGGGTGGTTTGGTAGGTAGTCAGTCGTGGCTGACTGTCGGGTCCCTCACTTCTTCCCGGGCTCCTCCCTCGCAGCCTTTTTTGCTTCCGAGCCAGAGACCCGCTGGAGGAGCACTTGCTTAGTTCCTGGGGCAGGCCCGCGTGCCAGCGCAGAGGCTTCTGTGGTGGCCGCGGCGTGCTCTGCCTCTGCGGCTGCGCCCTGGGGGCACCGCGGCTGTGACACGCTGGCGTCGGCAAGCGCTGAGACTGGCAACCCGCAGGGCCCAGGAGCTCTCCGGAGGCCCCCCAGAGCCGTAGGAGGTCCCTAGAGGCCCGTGGAGGTCCAGAACACGCTCAAAGCAAGCCCACACCTCGATCCTGTGGGTGCATCTCGCAGGGTACCGCATGGGGGTCGCCGCCTCTGGAGGGCCGCGCTCGCCAGGAAGCACTGGGCCCCGCCCTCGTTGCCCGCGCCCTCGCGCTTGCAGTGCCAGCGTGTCAGCTCGTCGGAAGCTCTGGGGTGGCGAATTTCAGTAATCAGATCGTCAGACGTCCGAGTAGAAGGGGGCGGCCCCTCCTCGAAGCTCCTGGATGCTTCTGAGAAGGCCTCTCAGAAGCCTCAGGCCTCTCAGAAGCCTCCAGGGCTGCTGAGAGACCACCCGCCTTCTCAGAAGCCCCCCTCCCTCCGCCGTTAATGCACGCTTTAAAGCGTTTTTTTTGTCAGGATGTCCGCTCAGCTCAGTGTCGCGAGTCCCACAGCGCTGTTCAGCCTGTGATCGTTCCAGCCGCGGCACAGCAGGCCACCGTCCCCCAAACAGTGCTCTCACACCTCGGTGTCCTGACTTCTGCTCTTTACGCGAATCTGTCGAGTGTCCCGAGGTTTCGGCTGGTGCCCGCTTGGCCCCCCTGTCGTGGGCGCCCGAGGGCGCCTCGTGGGCGCCCCACGCGGGCGGGAGCTGCTTCCCTGAGTTCCAGGCTGGTGCCCACTTGGTACCCGATCGTGGGCGCCCGCGGGCCTCTCGAGGGCGCCCCGCGCAGGGGGGGCGCTCCGAGCTTGCGGGCTCGTGCCCAGCGGGTGGTCCCCTGCCGTGGGCGCCTCGTGGGCGCGCCGCGCCGGGGGGCAGCTCGAGGCCTCGGCGGTTGCCCCGTGGGTGCCCGCTGGGTGCCTGGTCGTGGGCGCCCCGTGGGCGCCCCCGCGGGGGGGGGGCATGGGGCCCCGAGGTTTCTGCTGGCGCCCCGCCGGTGCCCCTCCTGGTGCCAGGTCGTGGGCGCCCCGCGCGGCGGGGGTATCTCGAGGTGTCGGCCGGTGCCCGGCTGCTGCTCGGCCCCAGAGATCCAGCGTATGGGAAGAATCAAGACGCAGGTTTTTCATATGTTTTGGCCTCGAGGGGCCCTCGCTGGGCCCCGGGACCGTCAAAAAACGACTCAGGACGAAAAGCCGGTCCTGGGGAATGGGTCGAGACTTCCAGGGACCCCGCATTGAAAAAATCACGACATCGGATCTCTGCGTTGGTGCCCAGTCGTGGGCGCCCGGCCTCATGGTCGCCCGACGTCGGTTGGTGCGCGGCTGATGCCGGGTCGTGGGCTCTCACAGATGTTGCGCAGCATGTCTTGCACCACGCAGGTCGCATCACACGCTCTGCACCACACAGTATTCGCCACATGCCTTGCGCTCATTGTGGTGTTCCACATGGTTTGTACCATCTTCCTTGCATCACATACCCTACACCACGTAGCTTACATGGCGCTATAAGTTGTTGCGCCACATACCTTGAGCCACAAGCCTTGCACCACATACTGTGCACCACATACCTTGCACCACGTAGCTTGCCCCACCGCCTTGCACCATATAGCTTACATAACGCTGCATGTTTTGCAACACATACCTTGCACCGCATACCTTGCGCCACATGTTTTCCACCACGCAGCTTACACCACAAGCTTTGCGCCACATACTTTGCACCACAATGCTTGCACCACATAGCTTCCATTGCGCCACACAGGTTGCACCACATACCTTGCGCCACATGCCCTGCACTACATAGCTTGCACCACATAGATTGCACCAGATAGCGCACAACACATTGCATACACCACATAGCTTGCACCACATAGCCGGCACCACTGAGGCCGCGCAGCTTGCACTACACGTCCTGCGCATCCACACTGCAATGACTCACTGTTTGGGGCCAATGCTGGCAATCGTTTAAGACCGGCCGGGCCTCCCGTTTCTGGCGCCCTCTTCTGGCGCACGCCTCCTACGCGGCAGGCTGTCTGCTCCTGCCGACCTCGCTCGGCGGCTGGCCGGGGCGGGGATAACTCGGCGCCCGAGAGAAGTGATGGGCCTGTTCTCCACCACCACCATAAGTCGGATGGGGGGGGAGAAGGTGGGGGACGAGGAGATGGAGGAGGAGGTGGACGAGGATGTGGTGGAGGAGGAGGAGGTGGAGGAAGAGGAGGTGGAGGAGGAGGAGGAGCAGGAGGAGGAGGAGGAGGAGGAGGAGGAGGAGGAGGAGGAGGACCCCCTCCCCCTTCTACTTCTGGTGGTGGTGCTGGTGGAAAACGGGCCCATCAGGAAGCGCCCGCAGGAGGCCCCCGCAGAGCGGCGCTCCTCGCGGGGCGCGGGCGACGAGCACCGCCGGGGGGCCCCTCTGCGGAAATCGCTGAGCCAGCCAGTGTCTGCAGGCGCCGGCGCCGGATCCCCCCCCAGCTCCCCTTCGGAAGGCGACCCCCCCCCCCCCCACCCACAGTCTCAAGCAGTGGCAAAGCGTCCTGGCGTGCCTGTAGGCCTACCAAACAGTGTTCTAAGAACCTTTGGTGGTTTCCACGAGATTTTCTCATCACATTTCAGGCTGGGACTGCCTTGTTTTGACGCATCGGGTTCATGTTCTAACTACATTGTTATTGTTCTTAGAACATTTTTCGGTTCTGAGAACATGTCGTGGTAGGCCTATAGAAATGCCGGGACGGTCGGTCCCTGCTCAACAGTCCGACTCCCATCCCCGAGCCGGCGATTCAAGGGGTCGGGACTGGGGGTGGGGGGGGGGGTTCTCCGTGCTTGGGCCCCTCGAAAAAAAAAACCCACCCCCAGTCCCGACCCCCTGGATCGCGGGTTCTAGGATGGGGTCGGGACACGTGGTGGGTGTGGGCTTTCCCCTTCTCACCCCTCCTTTCGCACCTCAGGAGGGAAAGAAACACACAGACACAAGTAAGCGTCGACGCCCAGGAATATATGGGGAAAATATGGGAAGTGTGGAGTGTGGGGGGGGGGGGGGAAGACGACAACCCGGAAAATCGGAGGTTGGGGGATGAGATCGCCGTGGAACGGAGACCCCCAACCGGGAAATCGTTTCGTTTCGTCCGTGTCGTGCGTGCGGGCGAGGCGAATCTGCTTGGGCGCGCGAGAGGAATGAACCCGCCGTTGCTAGGGTGAAGTCGGTCGGAACAAATGTTTCTCCTCCGTCCGTCCGTCCGTCCGTCCGTCCGTCCGGCGGTGGCCCTAGCGGTGTCCCGCGGTGTCCCGTGGTGTCCCGTGGTGTCCCGCGGTGTCCCGTTGAGTGAGATCGATATTGAGATCGATACTGAGATCGATACTGCGATCGATGTGGTGCCCAGAGGTGTCCCGTGGTGTCCCAAAAAGTGAGATTGATAGTGAGATCGATAGTGAGATCGACAGGTATCCCGAGGTGTCCCGTGGTGTCCCGTGGTGTCCGGTTGAGTGAGATCGATAGTGAGATCGATAGTGAGATCGATATTGAGATCGATGTGGTACCCCGTGGTGTCCCGAGGTGCCCCGAGGTGCCCCGAGGTGTCCCGTGGTGTCCCGTGGTGTCCCGTGGTGTTCCGTTGAGTGAGATCGATAGTGAGATCGATTGAGTCAGATGTTGGCTCCCCCCCCTCTTCCCCCCCCACAACCTCCTTTATCACCCGAAGGGTGGTCGTGTAGCTATTGGAACATCTGGGACATCCTGGGATTTGCGTGTCGTGTGTCCCTGGGCCCCTTCGTCCTCGACGGTTCGAAGGCGGGGCCCCGAGGAACAGGGCCCCCGAGGATGGGAGGCGGTCCCCGGTGGAGCCTGCCCTGTTCGAGGCCCCCATCCCTCGGGGCCCCGACTTTGAGCCGCCGCTCTCCGCTCCTCGCCCCCCCCTGGCCCCCCAGAGATCCAACGTGTCGTAAGTATCAAGACGCAGGTTTTTCCCAGTTTTCGGCCTCAAGGGGCCCTCGCCGGGCCCCGGGACCGTCAGAAAACGACTCAGGATGAGAAACCCGTCCTGGGGAATGGGTCGAGTTTTCTTGGGACCCCGTATTGAGAAAATCACGACGTCGGATCTCTGGGTCCCCCCCCCTCGCCCCTCCGCTTGCTGGGCCGGACAAGATCTCTGCCAATGTGGCCTCCCAGACTTGCAGGTCCAACTGAGTGAAGTCCGCATGGGCCGCTGCTCGATCAGGAGAGGTCGGTGCGGACCTCCGTCGGTGGGTTCAGATGCAAAATCCCTTGACCGGCGGTTTACTCAGCCTCCTCCTCCTAGGGGGCCACATGCGAACTCTACCCCTACCCCCTATGATTTCTGAGGGGGAGGGTGGGGCTCACTCGGCTCACCCTCAGAAATCGTGAGGGAGGGGTAGGGTTCGCCTGTGGCCCCTCACCCCCCCTCCTCCTCCTCCTCCTCCTCCTCCTCCTCCTCCTCCTCCTCCTCCTCCTCCTCCTCCTCCTCCTCCTCCTCCTCCTCCTCCTCCTCCTCCTCGATCGGTCAGGAGGAGGAGAAGGAGGAGAAGGAGGAGGAGGAGGAGGAGGAGGAGGAGGGGGAGTAAGGAGGGCAGGGGCAGTAAGCAGGGCGGGGGGGGAGCGAGGGGGCCAGCAGTGGAGCGACGGGAGGAGCTCGGCGCTCACTCCTGCGGCGCCGGGCCGCCGGAGAGAGAGAGAGAGAGAGAGAGAGAGAGCGTCGCCCTCGCCCTGCTCCGCGCGGGGGTCCCAGCTGAGGGCCGAGGCGCTGCGCTGCAGACGAGTCAGGAGGGAAAAAACAGGCACAGACACACAGACACAGACACACAGACACAGACACACAGACACAGACACACAGACACACAGACACACAGACACAGACACAGACACAGACACACAGACACAGACACACAGACACAGACAGACACACACACACACACAGACACTATCAATCGTCGATGTCCTCGAAAACATGGAAAACATGGGAAGGGGGGGAAGACGAAACTCCAGAAGATGTGGGAAGATATAGGGATTCCTGTGATTTGTGAGAATTTAGTTGTGTCCCAGGGCCCCTTCATAGTTTCTCCCCCCCCGAGAAAGAAAGAGTTCCCCACGGGGAATCGGCGAGATCGGCCACGCGCAGAAGGGGGTAGGTGGAGGGGGGAAGGCTTCTTAGACGCAGCCCTGCTTCTAAGAAGCCTTCCCCCCTCCCCCATACCCCGTTGTGCGCGACGCCAGCGAGAGGCAGATGCGGGTCACGCAGAGGAAGGCAGCCACGACAGCGGCGTCGATGATCCCTCATGCCCAGGCAGCCTTAGAGGAAGCATGCGCGCCAAAATGATGGAGCAGTCGACCGAACCGTGGGCAGTGAGTCCAGAGTGGTGGTCGAACCTGCCTTTGGGCTGAGTTCGAGCCTTGTGGTGTGCTAGGAGGAGGAAGACGTGGGAGGAGGAGGGGACCCGGGAGGACGGGAGGATGGGGAAGGGGGGAAGGCGGAGGCGGAAGTCTGGAGTGGAGCAAGATGATGAAGTCGAGAAGGCGGGGAGGAGGAGGAGGATGAGGAGGGGGATGATGTTGGTGATGTTGATGATAGTAGTGGTAATGATGATGGTGCTGGTGATGATA